GATGGCCAAGAATTGAGATGTTTGACTTAACTCTGGCAAACCTACATAGTAATTTATTCCTGTGACCGACCCTTTTTTTAGGATTCTCTCCTCTGAAGTCAGTCTTGGGAGAGAAATCGCATTCCGGAATAGCAAGGCGGACACGTGGGATGTTTGATCTCTGCTTTTAGCCCAAAGTCTGTGTTTACTGGGGAGTGACTTGTTATGTTTTGATATAGTAACGGTAGTATTCCACAACCACTAAAACCCTCTCTAAAAAAAGCAACCCTATTTTATTAAGACAAACTATGCATAAATCCTTTTTAGATGTTTTTTGTAACCCAGTTCCCAGGGGGGTGGGGTTGGGAATCATACAGCATGGGAAAAGATGGTATTATAGAAAATTGCTAACTAAGACACTGAAAATAGTTCAACAAATGAAAATAGCAAATCACTTAAAGCAACCAAAACCGGCCGGGTCTCAGGTAAGTCCGTATGCACGTACTGTCGCACTAGCGCCTGCTAATACAGTTGTGGTGGCAGTGAGCCTCAGCCAGCCTGACAGTGCTAAACCATCGGGGCTTTTGTTTCAGCCAAGTTCTGAAAATTCAGTATGTAAGACCAGGCTGAGCTGCCCCTTCTGGAATGAATGTGCAGCCTCCAAAGCTGGGCTGCTCTCCAGGGCGCTGATGCAATGGTGCAGCTCTGCCCTGCACTCCTGGTGCATTTGTTTATTCACTGGCTTCACTCATACAATTTTTTTTAATGAATGAAGAATTAAGTGCAGAGGTTGACTGAAATCTACTCGGCTCATTGTAAAGCTCCTATGAAAAACAAAACAAAGTCCAAGCTCAAATCTCTGTCCAATGTGCAGAAAGGAAAAAAAAAAAAAAAAGGCAAAACAGAGTTCAGTATTTTAGGGTTGAGTCTCTCCATTTCCTTCTGCTCTGGAGGTGATCAACAAGGGCTTGTCTGGTGCAAAGTTAAAATGAATATTCTGCAGATACAAACACAAGATCATCCTCTTTTTATTCTTCCCAGCTCAAGCACATATCAATCTATCTAGGGGAAAAACCATAACTAGACCAGTGACAGCCTTGAGCTGTTGGCTGTGGGTTTAAGGCAGACAGCTCCCCAGGTCAAGACTCTGTCCGGAGGCAAACCCTCCTGCAGTCCCACTGAGAGCTCAGAGGTTTAGACATTATAAAACCTATACAGAAAGAAACAGCAGAAAAACAGATTTCCTAAGCTCTGCTGTTCATGGATTTATTTGGCTTATTTTCATTTCTGTTGGCGCATTCTAGTGCTAATAAATTATATTGAATTAAATATTAAATTATATTGAATTCTAGGTTGAAATATTTTGTACAGTTAGAAAAGCAGTAGCCTCTTCATATAGATCATGAAGAGATAAAAATGTCAAATAATCATTTCTGCTTGATTATTAAGTATGGAGCACTTGTTTTATACCATAAGCACCAAATTGCTTACTGAAATGAGTAGTTCCTAAGGCTTTTCCTCCAGCCAACTTTCAATGTCTTGGTCCAAACTGGTTCCACATTTGGAAGAGGCTTCTGCACCCATTGTATAACAAGTCTGTCATTTCTGGAAGATCAGTCATGTTTAATCTACCAATCTCCTCCAGAAATTCTGTTGCTATTGCTTTGGGGCAGTACAGAGCTCTGAGAAATGCGCTCTTCAAACGTCCTTGCTCCTCACCCATCGGCCGGAGGACAGGTCACATGGCTGGCCAATGATTCCTGGATAGCACCGATACGATGCTCACCTTTCCAGCCACACGACTGTTGGGAGGAATACTCTGGTTAGGAAACCAGCCTGTAAAACATAGTCATAAGGGTGTTCTCTTCGTGCCTGCACTTGATCCCATTGGAACTAGCATTGCATATGTGGCTTTTTTATCCAGGTGGCAAAAGCTTCCAGCTTTTTGGACACTGCTACGTAAAGGTGGTGAGTAAAGTTTCTGGAGCTTCATTTGCTTTGCTTTCAAAGTTTTCAGAGTGAAGTGATTGATGTAAAACTGAACGTTAGTACTTTAAAAATGCACTGGAGTTTGTACTTTGATTTCCGAGTACTTTGATTTTTGGCTTCTGCCACTCTTTAAGGTTTGAAGCGAGCCACAGCTGACCACAGGGCAGCAGAGCTACGTGGAAAGGCAGGAGATGTTCCAGCGCTGTATCCAGTCTGGGTTTGCATTTCAATATTTAAATCATAGAATCGTAGAATCATAGAATGTTTTGGGTTGGAAGGGACCCCTAGAGGTCATCTAGTCCAACCCCCCTGCAGGAGCAGGGACACCGCTAACTAGATCAGGTTGCTCACAGCCCCATCCAACCTGGCCTGGAATGTTCCCAGGGATGGGGCCTCCACCCCCTCTCGGGGCAACCCCTGCCAGGGTTTCACCACCCTCATTGTAAAGAATTTCTTCCTTATATCTAGTCTAAACCTACTCTGGTTTAGTTTAAAACCATCCCCCCTTGTCCTGTCACAGCTGGCCCTACTAAAAAGATTTTCCCCACCTTTCCTGTGGGCCCCCTTTAGGTATTGAAAGGCCGCAATCAGCTCTGCCCGCAGCCTTCTCTTCTCCAGGCTGAACACCCCCAACTCTCCCAGCCTGGCCTCAGAGCA